GGAATGCCTTGGGGTTCCCCCAGAGGAGCTGGAAAAAGTGGATGGGGAGAGGGAAGTCTGGGCCTCCCTTTTGAAGCTGCTGCCCCCGCGACCCGACCCCGGATAAGCGGAAGAAAATGGATGGATAGATGGATGGATAATGAACTGAAATGTCTTATGTGTCTTATGCAATCAAACATTAAAATTCTCCTCAGTCTCAGAATCCTCAGCACTATAGATGTCTGGACACTGGCTCAGTCACTTCAAGGACTTTCTGTAATTCTTCTATAAAAACTTCATTGTTGCCTTGGTGATTGATTTTGGGTCATTTTCCTAACACAGCAGGCAGTGTTGTTCTCAACCAAAGAACTCAAGTTTGCTCTTACTGCATCTTGTGCTTTAATGAGCTGCACCATAAAGTGGTCTGCCTCAGGTGACACAAAGAGTTTTCCTCTGGATGACTCTTAAATGCTCACTGGTGAAGCTGACGCAGGCCTTCATTGCAACAGGAGGCCAGATTTCAGTCCATGAGGAAGATGCGTATCTCCAGTGTTGTTCTTCATGTTTCTGGTTCTAAGTCTTCAGAACATGAACAAGGTCATCCTGCTCCGTTTTAGACTGATCCCTCACCTTTCTGATGATCAACCATACTGGATCAGAGAAGATCTTCTCTGGAACGTAAGGATGTATTCACATCTACCATTTTAGGTCTGCTTTAAACCGACCAAAGTTTGCTTCCTTATTGGTCTGGACCTGTTGTGCAAGTGTGGATATGCGGAGCAAACAAGGAAGCAACTCTGGTGCAGTTTGCCTCTGGTGTGAATACAGACCTGTGTTGTCAGTTGTACAGCTGTATTTACAAGGTATAGTTCATTTGCAAAAGATACAGTATGACAGCAAAAACCACCAGAGAAAAAACTAATGCCCTCTTTTGGTCCAGGCCTGGTGTGAATAAGCTAAGGGTGATTGAAGGTCATTTGATAAGTCTTAAGTTTCACAATATGTTTGGAATCATTGTCTTATTAAAAGAACAAGCTTCAGGTTGCTTCACATTTTGCTAGAGAATATGCAGAGGAGATGATGGCAGACTCAGAGCTTGCAAGGTGCCCAGGTCCTTGTCCAGGTCCACTGGCCGCAGAACAAATTGAACATTGGTGTTTTTAACTATGATTTAGGCAAACCAATGTTTTGCTGCAGTGTTCTTTTTAAAAAGAAGAGACGTTCTCCTGGCCGGACTTCCAAAGCAGCCATACTCTTTTGGTCATGAGTTTGACCCTTGAGCATGCTACCTGAGGCATGCAGAGTCTGACATGAAGCTCTTGGGTTACTCTGATCAATGCATGATTGAGTTTGCTGGGACATCCACTCCTAGTCCGAGGTGTTTTTTTTTCCCCCCTTATAAATCACTTTTGTTGTAGATTGATGAACTCTGAACCAGCCTGTATGACCCTTCTCAGATTGATGTGTGGTAAAACTGGATTCTCTAAGGCAGGGGTGGCCAAGTCCAGTCCTCGAGAGCCACCATCCTGCAAGTTTTAGAAGTATCCTTACTCCAACAGACCGGGATCAGCTCTACAGAGGCCTGATAACGAGCCAGTCATTTGATTCAGGTGTGTTGAAGCAGGGATGCATCTGAAACTTGCAGGATGGTGGCTCTCGAGGACTGGACTTGGCCACCCCTGCTCTAAGGTAATGTTTCTGTTCTGGCATTAAGTCAACACACACCTCTATGTAGTAAGCACAAAGATTTGGTTTCAGTCTGTGTTTACCCACAGTCTCGTCCACTGCAAACTCTGTGCATTATAGATGCTTTTGGCCTCAGTGAGCTGGATGCCATGTGCTCCAGCCCATAATAACAAGCTTTTGCCGGCGTATGTGGGTTAATCCACGGTTACATAAGATCAGCCCTAATGACTCTGTGTTTTGCTGCAGGTGATGGGTTTAATGGTGCACATGCTGACTTCCACTTAAGAGCCAGACCAATGCTATTCATAGTGGGAGGGGCTCACTCATAGGAACACACACACTCACACACAGTTGCCACTCTGACTGGAAATAGGGCTAGCGGGGGGGGTTCCTGTGGCCTTCAAAGCCACAATATTAAACTGAGGGTATGAACACATTTGTGAGGACATTTAAACCCATCCTGGTAAATCAGTGAGACCTTCACTGACCTTTGGGAAATGCCAGCATATGTGGGCAGTTAAAGCATGCATAAAGAGTAGCAGCAAGCAACATGGGGGTTACTGTTGAGTATTGAACTAGTTAGTGTGATGGCTGAAGTTAAAGTGAATAAACCAGTTCCAAATCATTTTATTTGTTTCAGCAGTGTGGGTGCAGTCCATGCTCTATAGATCTATCATTCAGCAGCAACAGACAATCCATCATTATGATTCAATAAAATGTTATTCCTAACAACATGTCATGAAATGTGAAGGAATGATTCAGTTTGCTGTCAGCCACTACACAATGACAATGGGGCTAAAGCTGGCTGTACTTTTTACTACTATAAATGATACTACTTGATTTATTTGATAAAAAAAAAAATTAAAATGTGTTGCCTTAAAACTAGCTGAAAACAATCAAGATTTGTCCTGACTATAGTGTTGGTGGGGGCGCCTTGTGGCCCGCTGGTAGAGCAGGAACACCAGGCTACAGGTGTGAGTTTGATTCCTGGACCTGAACCATTTCCCTGCTCTCTGTCCCCGACTTCCTGTCCAACTTCTAATGAACAAAGGCCACACAAAGGGCCGCTGCCCTGGGTTTAATGAAGCCAAAGTGTTGTATGTATCCCACATAGGACTGCAACCAACAATTATTTTAGTAATCAATAATTTTATCAATAATTCTGGTGATTCATTGAGTAATTGTGGGGGGCTGGCATGCTGTGCATACTTTTCATAATGTATATATTTGTAAAGTTTTGTCTTAACTGCTGCTCTGTGTGTTATTTTAGCAGATTGCATGTTATTCTGTATACTCTAGTTAGCAATTATTCAGTTACTAAAGTTGATGGTTATTTCTGTAATCGATTCATCACAATTAATGGTTAACCTCACTACTGCCAGTTGATGCATATTCTGCACTTACCAAGGATCAAGTTGGAGGAACTATGCTGACATTAATCAGACACATTTCTAATATAAGATTAATTTATCAGTTTTTTTAAAATTATGAATACCTCCATTTAATCATCAGGGGAAAACGTTGTGCAGTAACCTGCTCCCTCTGCCAGCAGCAGGCAGGATGTGGTCACTTCACTGACTGCATATGCAAAAAACTACATATTTCATTCAAGGCGCCTGCAGCTCACAGTTCATATTTCCTGGTTTGTGATGATCTACCTTTCATAATAATATGGAATGAACTGCTGCACTGTCCCTTTAATTCAGCAGTATTCATCTCAGTTCTTCAATATGGATGGCATTAGAAATGGTGCCATCATTCTTCCTCATGCCTGTGCTGTTGTGTGTGTTCTGGCCACTAGAGGACGTCCTGCCTAAGGATGCAGGAGAATGTGCAATCTGCCTGGAGGAGCTGCAGCAGGGAAACACCATCGCCCGCCTGCCCTGCCTCTGCATCTATCACAAAGGGTGGGAAGCTTGTTTTTAGTCCTTGTTCTTTCACATGAACGTCGCCAGACTCCAGAAATGACACATTATGCTTCATTACACATCTTAAAATGTAAAAGTTGACATGTGGCTCCATATGGTGCAGAATCATCCAACAGCTTACACCATGCGTCTCTGCTAGGTTTAATGACATAACATGCTGTGAGTGAATGTTCTGCTCTGATTGTGTTCCAGCTGTATCGACGAGTGGTTTGAGGTGAACAGATCGTGTCCGGAGCACCCGGCAGATTAAAGCTTCCTTTGCACAGGTAACCTTCTACCCAGAGCGGAAGCGCTGACCCACCAGGAGGCCCTGAGCAGTCCGTTCTGTTCCTGGAACCTTCTCTTGTCTCGGCCATTTCTGTGAGCGTTTCCACTGTGTAGTCCAGAACAGATGCTGAGCTGTGACTCCGCCCACTGCAGCAGGAGCTGCTGAGTGTGGGATACAGGCTCCTGTCAGCAAAATAAAAGTTCATTGCATTTCCACCTTTTGTTACGTTACACCCACCCTTACTGAAAATTTTCCAAAATTCTGCAGACTTTACTTTGTTAATGAAGCTCCGAACTGAGCTGTTTACACTGATCGTGTTTACGTATGTTTATGTTTTAGGGCTCTGCATGTTGACGCATGCGATTAATAAGAAACATTTAACACGTAATATTACATGATGCAGATTAATCTAATTACTTATTTGACCTTGAAGCGTCTCTAGCGTCGGTTCGGTTGAGACGCTAGAGACGCTGCATTGTGTGAACACAAATGAACTAGCGCAAGGCATTATGGGTAAATAAAAAGAAGACAAACTTATCTAGCATTAGCGAGAGAAAAGACGTGATCTGAAAAGAAGAATCCTCCAACCTCTAAAATCTGATGCTGCTTCATTTGTCTTTATATTCCTTGAAGAACGAAGTAGATTTCAGTCTCTTCTTCAGTGTTTTTTTGTGCTGATTCCTTCCATTTCTGGTGCAGTGCCACCACTGGTGAGGGAGAGAACAGGTTGTCAGTTCAGTGTGAAGGTCAGAGAGTTCTGGGGGGAAATGTTCATACAGTCCAAACTCTCCTCTGCTCTGTGGAACAACCTCCTGTCGTAGAAGCACACCCTCCAGTGTTTGAACTGATGTGTATCTGAAGACGTCAGCAGGTCGTTTCTGACTCTGTGTCTTTGTTCTGCGTCATGTGATCCCAGGTAACCCACTCTGACAGAATGAAGCTCGGATCCAGCCAGACTGTCGGACCCCGCCAACACTGTGATTGGCTGACCCGTCCCGCCCCTTCCCAAACAACCAACCGCACGGTGTAGAACCGCAGTATGCCAAATCTCTTTGGAGGAATCTTCAGGGATATAAACTATGTGTGTGTGTTTTTTTTTGGGGGGGGGGGTTTATGTTTGAGTTGCACTTTCTTTTTATTCTCCCAATGAATGGACACATCTGCTCAGTCAGGCCTGACGTTCCATCAGGACAGGAGCAGGGTGGTGCTGCTGCTGCTGTAGCTCAGCTCCGCTGCCCTCCTCTCTCCTCCTCCGTCAGCGTCGGTTTTTTTCTCCCAGTGCCTTGTTTGCAGCAATGCTGAGCACCGAGCGGGATGGGACAGGAGCTCTCTGCTGCAGAATCATCTCACCATAACTGCCATTAAAGCAGCCGGGAGCCGGGCGGCCCCTGTCTGCACCGGCAGCTGTCGCCAAACGGTGCCAATCAACTGTGAAAACCGTCCGTCACACGTCTCATGAGTGCTTTTTAACCCCGAACCGTGCAGCAGGGCTCTGCAGATGCAACGCCGACTGCATCAGTTACCAGCCTCAGGCCTCTGCAGGCTGCCGGTGCCAGCAGGAGAAAAGCAAAAAGCTCATTTTATTCTTCCATTTCAAGAAGTTTTACGACAGCACTTTCTCTACCTTGGCAACAGGCTTCTCTTTTGCATTGATTTACAGATACTTTAATATATAGCTGTGTTGGGGATTATAGCAGAGTGTTTTAAAAGGGTGAGTAAAATGAGACAAAACAAAAAAAAAACTTTGGGGAAGTGCGCCCATCCAGAGCAAAACGGGGAAAAACATGTAGTTGAATTTTTCTCCCTGGACAGAAATGGATCAGCTTTTTTTCCCCCCAACATTTACTGTAGAAACTGCAAAAACATTTCTCTCTGCTTTCACAACAAAAACACTAAATCTTACAAAGTATTATTGTCTGCTCCCTAGTTCTAATATTTTAATACACTTGAAGTGACATAGCAGCTTGTTTTAGGTCAATAACTCCTTAAAAAGACATTTTTCCATGTTATAAGTGAAATAATCTGCTAGCGGAAGTAGTGCTTCTTTTTTATTATTATTTTAAGGAATTATTAACTGAAAACAAGCTCTTTATCTTGCTGAGAGGATTGTTTTTAAGTTAGTTTTGTTGCATTTCAGGTGGACTTAAACATTTGCAGTAGAAACAGGACCAAAAATACTCTGTAAGGTTTAGTGTTTCTGCAGAACTGAATCACTGAACAAATGTTTGAGAGAGCTGCTTCACGCCCTTGCTGCATGGAGCGGACCTGCTGCTCAGCTGGGAACCGGACCGCTGGTTCCCAAACAGAACCACTAACCAGATCAGTCGCTGTTTCAGCAGGAATCCTATTAACAGAAGCCACAGTTTGATGCGTTCTTCTGGATCGGGCAATCCATGGACGGCCACTCCGTCACCTCTGGGATTGTCTCGTTCTGAACCAGTCCATTTTATTTATAAAACCGAGACAATAATAATATAAGAAAACATTAAAAGCAGAATAAGACATACTTAAAAATGCAACATAATTATAAAATAGAAAACAAGCTCACACTGTGTCAAAATCCACTGAAAAATTTTTTAACAGAGACTTGAAAACAACATGGCCTCTAATTATTTTTAAACAAATCCACCTGGCAGTATGAGAGACCTCCCCGCAGCACGACGCCAACACCGCCGTGCTTCACTGTGTGTCAAACTGTCTGTGAGCCTCAACAGGAACCAATGAGCTTCTAAATGCTGCTGCATTTCTCTCCATGTTCTCACCGTGTTTCATTCCCAGAATGATTCTGCAGCATGCAGAACTGCTGCTTCTGTTGGTTTTCTGTTTCTCTACTGCTGCTACCTTGTAGAAATGTTTCTGCCTGAAATGGAGACGATCTGGTTAGAGCTGCTGGACATGAAAAGCTCCTTCATTTCCTGATCTGAGTTTCTGTCATCACTCACCTCCCGATGCTCTGAAGGGAATAAAGCACTTCGAGAACAAATTAATGAACTGTTATTAAGACTTTTTTTCAAAACGTTAAACAGAAAAATATTGAGGCATTCAAAAAGTCGCTTGAAAAAGAAAAGATCCAAATTTACAACATAAACTAATGTCAGTGGTCACCTTTTCTGTCACATTAGAGAATAATGTGACAGATGCTTTTTTTTTCCAACTGGAAATGAACCGAGTTCCTGTTGCCACGGCGATGACGTGTCGCTTTGGTGCAACAAGACAACATGACACAACAGAAGGAGTTTCTAAAGGTTTTAGAGGACCATGGGTTTTTGTTTAATTTTTTTTCTGTTTTTGTTTAATTTTTTTTCTGTCTTTTATACTTTGTTGTTTGTGGTCTACTTCTTAAAGAAACAGTGTGCAACAATTACTGACAGCCAGTGTTGGCTGACCAGACTGGAGGAGTGAAACATTTCCCAAACATGGGAGCCCTCCATCAGAAGGCCTTCTGTGTTCCTGACTGAAGAACATCTAAACACATTGACACAAGACTGTTCTGAAATTGATCATAACTAAGGCTAATCTTTGCATTTTCTGCATATTTTGGTTTAAAACTGATCGCCCCCATGCTCAGCTGAAACCACCATACATGGTGGAAAAGAGTTGTGTGTTCCTTGGTTTTCCTCCGGTCCGGTGGATCAGTACAGCCGGGTTTTGCTGAAGTTGGGGTTTCTCAGGTAGTTCAGTCTCACAGGTCGCTGAGTGTTTGGTTCCAACCAGAGGAATCGTCTTAATCTGCTTCGACTACCAGAGATCCAAAGTCATTTTCCATATTCTGCTCATAGTCTCTGTCAGAAGATATGAATAGATGACTCCAATAAATAATATTTACCAGCAGGAGGTCACAGAGTTATTTTTGTTGTATTCAGGGTTCATAATGTGTCATATTTTGAGTCAACAAACCTGATTGAGGATCAGAAGAACCTAAGCAAAAGAGTAATGGAGTGAGACAAAGTTGTGAGATAACACTGTGAATTAAGATTTCAGGGTTTTTAGAATGATTTATCTGATTGAGTTGTGATTATTTAACTAAAATGATAAATGTAGAATACTGAGGTTTGATAAAAATATTCTACATGTTCAAAATGGCAAAAGAAGGGACGAAGTGTGAAGATGTCAGAACTTCTTCCATCTCCAGTTCACAGCTTTCCTCTGACCAACCAGTCAACTGGCTGGCTCTCATGTTCTGGTGTTCGGTGCAAATTGTGGTAGAATCAACACACTGCACCCAGCTGCCATCCCGTCACAAAGGTTTCATATTGTCCTGATATGATGTATAAAATCCCCCCTCCCTCATTTCCACTGCCACCAGAAATTATTAGCACCCCCTACCTTTCTCCACATGTAGTAAGATGAAAGGCTACACTATCATCCAATCATCCAATATGAGCCATAGTAAACAGCCCATAATGACAAACCCATATTTTCACATATAAAAAAAATTACAGTAAATGTAAATAATACATGCAAAAATATTCACACCCTTTTTAGATCTGATTGGTCATCCTTGAGATGTTTCTGCAGTCCAGCTGGTTGACCCAACATCATCTGGAGTGGGTCACATGTCTATAGAAGCTGACAGAGCAAATCAGAGCAGAAACGAAGCGATGAAGTCAAACACATCTGCAGAAGGCTACATAAAACACTTCAAAAGTCTGGAAGGTCCCAGAAAGCTCAGTGGTTTCCATTATTACTAAACAAAAGAAGATTGGAACATCTGACTGCCAAGAAATATATCAGTCAAAACCGAATGAAGTATCACCTTTTGGGTGTGAGTGCATAAGCATCAGTTATATTTAAAGGCGCTGTATGTAATTTTATTTTTTTTTAAAAAGCATTTTACATTACATTTGTTAAAGATGTCACCATGTTGTGACAGTTTGTTTTGAGACAGATAATCTGTGAAAAGATCGATCATCTCCTCCCTGTGCTCATATTGCCATTTGAAGAAATGCACCACTCTTGACCCCAAACAACCAATCAGAATCAGGAGGAGGGTCTTACCACTGTCAATCAATCTCAAGTACTTGCTGCTAAATGTCCTAATGGAAGAGAAACGACATACCTTTAAAGAATAATCATTTATCTGCTGTTATCATTGGCTGTGCTAACTAGCCTTAGCATTCATGACAGGCTATGCTAGCTCCAGCGCAGCAGAGAGGAAGTGGGTGGAGGATATGGGTGGATGAGCCTGGTATCTTTAGACAAAAACCCACTAATGCCACTATTTTAGGAAGGTGATGGTACTAAAAACAATGTCTAAAATAATTTTTTTTACTGTGCCATGATTGCTTTATACAGATTATTTTAACTTAAGACACCAACTGGAACATGGTTTTACCAGCCCATAAACACATTCCTATACATGCTTGAGTTCAGGTTTGTTCCTTTGGTAATTGTTTCACACTGGACCTGCCTGTTCTTCTGCTTTCTGCAAACATTTCCTGCATCTGGTGGAGAAGCTGCTGCGTCAGCTGCTGTAGCTGCAGATAAGCTGCTGTCTTCTAGAGCTGGACAGTAATAAGCACAGATAGGTGAGCTGAAACATTGAGCTCTTTTCTACCTGGACCAGACTGTTGGACTGAACAGTGCCTGCTGGACTCGGGTCAAAGTCCTTCATCTGAGTAAACCTGCCGAAAGAACGGGACCGTCCAGCCTGCAGGAGTGCAGGTTGTCTGAAGACTTCATCAGTGATGAACAAACTCCTCCTCAACCTGGAGACAAAGGGAACCACCTGATCCCATTGATCCCAAAGCTCCACAACATTATGGAAACCTGTTCCCCATTTCTTCCCCAACTTTTTTTTTTTGTCTTTTCTGTTACTCCAGTACATAATCCAGCACTCTCCATCTTTCCCCTGTTTTGCATCCATAGAGAAACTTAGAAAATGTATTTCTGTTTCTCAACTTCTTCAACAGGAACTTTAAAAGTTGCTCTTTCATGGTGAATGTTGCCACATGATGAACTTCCCCCCACGTATTGTTCCTCTTTCTTTTCCTCTAAAGCACGCCAGTTAATGTAATTTTTTAACTCAGAACTGCACATGCAGCAGTAAACCCTGAACATGAAAAAGCACGTGCACTTTTGGCTGAACAGAGTTGACTGAAGGTGATTTTATAAGAACAGGGGTTTTTTATCATATTTGTTACAACTGTCACCGTATGGAGACAGTTTGATGGATAATCTTTGAAAAGATCGATCTCCTCCACCTTCTCCCTATGCTGTCTAAAGAAATGCAACAATCCTCAATCGGGGCCAGAAGGAGTTTCTTGGTGCTGTCAGTCAAAGTTGTGTACATGCTGCTAAATGTACTAATGGTGGAGAAACTTTCTCTTTCTGTTTTCTAGTATTTTGAGGGCACTGCATTATAAAATCTTAGCAATCAGTGATGACTTTTCCAAATCCATGTTCATCTCCTGAGGCGAGTATTTAACTTAGCTGCTAAGTTAGCCATCATTAGCGTTAGCCAACACAGGCAAAGTTTTGGTCTCCTGGTTTTGGTCCCTTCTAATTTGTTTAGAAATAGTAATTAAAAAAAAATAGAATATCAAAGGTAAACAAGTGTATGATTCAAAGGACATGAACAGTTTATGTTTTCACCTTGAACATCTCTGTCGTTGACTCGTTTGGTAGGTTAAATGCAGAAATGCTCATGCTTTGGCTTGAGTATGCTTTGGCTTGAGCAACTAGTTCAGGTATTTTCCCTGATAGTTGTTCTTTTCTCAGTCTGTTCATGCATATCAGTTGTGGATCCAGGATTTTGGAGCCACATGTGAGGTACTGGAGTCACTTGAAGGCACTTTGACTGTCACAGGACCTTTTGTGTTTTTGAATGTGTCAACCTGTTTTGGTTCCTGAAGAAGAAATGGAGAGAACTTTGGAGTTTTGGGATCCACCCTGGGATAAACACGGCTGCTGCTTTTCATGCTCACCGTGTAAAGCCTGAATGCCACACAGAGATTAGCAGAGCCCTGTAATACATCGTCCGACCACACAGTGGTGCTGCAGCTCCTCCCTGCAGTGGCGTCTCCTCTTCCACTTTCTGAGTTAGTGGACATCTCAGAGATCCACATGTACCTTCATGTCTTTATAATGTGACAGCTACACTAGTGATTCCTACTGATCCTTTCTGTCCACATCTGATCAAATGGTTGAGTTTTGTTGATAGTTTTTACTCTGTCTTTTTTTATTTCTGTTTGTGAATTGAAGCAGAACTGTTCAACAGGCCTTAATAGATGTGCTGATGACATTTCATGAGTCTCTCTGTGTATTTTGTAATTACTATGTTTCCATCCACGATACACTGGTTTATGAAGCTGGATTGGAGTGAGGACTCTTACTTTACTGATAACTGTCAGCATGTAGCAGTCAAGTTTGATTGTTTGTAAGGTGTTTCCAAGCAGCAGTCACTTTATTCATTTAATTTAAATTGACATACATAAATGTACATCTTTAATTTCATTCATTGTAGTTATTAGACAATGCAGTCAAGTTCAGGTTCTTATTCCAGTTGCTAAAACACTTTCTACCTTTTGGTACATCTAGCTCCTGTTGGGTTTTTGCCATCAGAACTGTCTTAATTCTTAGTGGCACAGATTCAATAATAGTATCAGGAACATTTGTCAGATTCTGGTCCACATTGACAGGTTTGATTGCTGCATATCAGTTATGTAAATTTCACCACCTCCTAATGATGTTCTGTTGGACTAAGATCTGGTGACTGTGGAGGCCAGAGGACAGCGAATCATTGTCATGTTCAAGAAACCAGTTTGAGACACTGTAAGCTTCATGACTTGGAATTTTTCCTTGTTGGAAGAAGTCTGCAGAAGATGGGTATACTGTTATAAAGGGAAGGACATGGTCATCATCGACATTCAGGTTGGCTAAATGTGTTGGGTGTTCAGCGATGGAATGTATACTTTGGTGAGTCCGATTGTTGGAGCTACTGTTGCCTTTCGATGATCTGACCTACCAGTTGTCAAAACTACAGTTGAAAATACCTAAACATGGGAAAATACCTAATTTATGGGAGTGAATTTCATTTTATTGGACCATAAACACAAAAGGCATGAAGGAACCAGACAACTCCAGTAACATTCATTTCAATATTTTTTTATTGTGTACAAAATGACAAATACTTGAATGGTACAGAGTGATAACAAAATATGTGATGTTCAGTATGACAAAAACTATCCTCTGATACTGATCCTCCTGGAGTAATCAAGCAACCAACCTGACAAGGAATGGAAGTAAACAATCAGTTGGTAAATCTTTCTTTGTAAAATTGCTTACATTATTAAAATTATCTTCATATGCATTAGGGAAGCTACCTTCTGCCGCTCTGGTTCTGCCCTTACTACAGACAGACTTTGCTTTAACATGAGGATGGATGTAAACTAAACCTGTGTCTGTGGAGCGACGTGGACCAGAGACGTCCTCACTATCCTGACTGTGAGAACCTTTGAGGTAGACGTGGGTGAAGATGTTCAAGGCCAAAGAAGACAGAAAGCTTTGAACTGAACCAAATATGATTTAGCCAAGTAAAGGATGTGCACAATTGTGAACCAACCACTATCAGCAATACCAGTAATTATAAAGGAAATTATTTCCTGTCAGATGTAACCGTATTCGAACAAAACCAAAATATATATTCTACAGGGAAGTTGGCATGTTTCTTGTTTGGTTTTTGTTTTGTTTTGTTTTTTCACTGTGACCGGTTCCTATTTCATGTAAAAGTCAGACATGGAATGAAACTCACAGGTAATTTCTCTCACATGAAACATGACAGATTAAGACCAAAGAAAAACTGTAATCCTGGAGAATTTCCAGCAGATGAACTGAGTTTGTGTCTGCAACATGTCACAAAGGAAATCACTATGCTAATACAAATACGTTGCTATGGGGACATTAATCAGAATTAGCTAATACAGACACAAATGAAGCTGAATGCTTGGAACACAGCACACTGAAAACCTTAGAGATTAATGAAGAAATCTCATACAGACTAGTGAAATATTTTCTGATGGATTCAGTTGAAGGCACTTTGGTTAAACAAAAAGTGGTTTTATTTAAACAGGAAGGTCTAGGTAATCCTTTCTGAGTTCCAAGATGGATTTGCAGTTCAGCCATGAATTCAGCTGTGTTGAGGTTTTTCATAATGTAGCATTTACTCTGAAAAAATAAAATAAAATCCTTGTATTGTAACTTAACTTTCTTGTAAAAGTACAATCAATCAATTTCACACAAGAAAACATTAAAATGTAATATGTGAAATTGTTTTGATAACCGTTTTACTGTTTCAAATAAATATGTCCAATTCAGTAGGAGATATTCAATGAATTATTTTTGAAGTAGACCTTCTTCAAAAACATAAGGTGTACGGTGACTTCATACTTATTGTCCATGTCAAGGAGTCTGTATCAGTAACTAATGAATATTCATAAAATATTAATATTAAAATATGAAACTATCCTTTAATAGTTTATATTAAAGGATCTGAAGTTTGTATGAAGAGCTTTCACTAGTTTGTATTTAAGGTTTTCAATAGGCTGTGAGAAAGAGTTCAATTTTATCTCCATCAGTCTCTAATAATGTCCCTCCTGGCCCCCCATATGTTGGGCCCTTAAAGGGATCCATGGTTAGTTGCAGCAATAGACATAGAGAGGCATTTTTCACATATTTAAATAAAATATTGTCACACAGACGTCACCATGGTAGAAGAGTATGCTATGTTCTACAGCGCTGTCCAGCCAAAACTGTGTTTTTTGCGCAATGCGTAAAGCTTAGCCCTTTCAATTTGAACAGGAGCGCTGAAATAAAAGGTGATGCAAAAACGATGAGGGGAAACTAAAATGAGGAAGACCGAACGGGAGAGAGTCGGCTGAAAAAGCTGGTGTTTGTGCTGCCGCTGCCTGTTAATGGTAACACAGAAGAAGAGCATTAGCTGCAATGAGCTCCAGTTTCTAACTCAGGCTGTGCATGATGAGCACTGGGAAAAAAAATAAAAAATGTGTGTGTGTTACAGAGACGTAAAAATGAATCATTGTCAGGCAAAACATCCATTCATTATCTTCCAATTGTTGATTTCATGCCAACTCCTTCTAATGCTGTTAGCTCTAGCTAACATAGTAAACAGTATAGCACAAGCCAATCACATTTGTTTCAACATCTGTTGAAACAAATACAACAGATGTTGTATACACAAGATAGATATACACAAGATATCTATTTTGTGTATAGCTGCACATCAAAACTTCAAGACAGTTTTTCCCAACCCAGATGTTTTCTGCCCTTGACTTCTTGTGTTTAGTTTAAAGGCTCGACTCCATATAACCTGCCCACATCATCGGCCCAGCATGCATAGCGCAGCTGAAAAAATGACGAGCTACGTAGGTGAAAAATATAACTAGGATATACAATTTTTTAAGTAATTATGAGATTTTACATACCACAATGCTTTTAGGAAAATTCTAACATATTTTGGCCAACAGGTTCAACTAGTCGACGATCCCTTTATCAGAGAGTTGATGATGACTGACATGCAGACATTTTGATTCCAGAACATCATGTTCAGAGTGTACTGATGTTTCTGAAGCATATTGGTTCACATCAGAAACGACATCCCAACTGAATCCCAGTGCTGTGAACATAGCACTGGTGTGTGTGTGCAGTTCTGTGAACACAGTGTCCATCCTGCTCAACTTGTGGACAACAGGAAGTGATGTTGTTGAGTTGGTTGAAGCGCAGCAGCAGAAAACGTGTTTGTGTTTCTGATCCTTGAAGAGCACAGCGATCCTGTCAGTGGAACCGGAGTCGTTTGTCTGACTCAAACAGCTTCTGTTCCTCCTCAGAGAGCTGGTTTCCTTTCACGCTGTGGAAACAAGAGCCATCAGACATACAGTTCACACACACACACACACACACACACACACACACACACACACACACACACACACAGAGAGACAATGGGTTCTCAACCAAACACTGCTCAAAGTTGATTGGACTGATATCACTTTAGCTTGAATTTATTTTAATGCAAAATTATCAGTGTTCTGAAATGATATGTTTACACTCACTATGAAACTTTAATATGTATGTATTTTAACCAAATTTTAAAAGTTTCAAAAGCAAAATGTTGCTTAGCCTCTTGGCCAGTAGTCTTCCATAACATTTAGTCCAATCCAGTTTATTTACATGGGGCCAATTGACAACAGATATCTCATATAATAAAAACAATAAAAATAAAATTTAAAAGTTTAGAGATGCCTATTTAACCTTTACTATTATTATGTTTTGAAGCAGTAATTGTGTCATACTTGGTTATGACAAAACTTCAAATAGATCAGTTAATGTCAAACTTCATAATATTGATTTGCACATAGAAACATGTTCCAAACAGATTTCAACTGGTTTCTTTGTGCCTGTTTTACATCATAAGTTTTAAAACATGATGCCATTTATGGAGGCATTTGCTTTGATTTCTATGTATGAGTTGATAACTTAGGTTATTACTGGCATCTGGTGTAAACATTTATACCATAAGCTTCATGTTGATAGAAATATTAGTAATACATTTAGAGAGGAAATCGATGGTAGCAGCTTCATCACCTGTGATCACGCTCAGGTCAAACAGAACCTTTTCTCCTTCAGGTACAAACTCAGTAGTGTGAAGTGTAAAACAACCAGACTGAAAGACTTTGTATCCTGGAGAGATTGCAGTGATTCAAACATCCAGGTCAAACATTTTTGCAACACTAAGTAAATATGTTCTGTTTGACTGCTCTTATTGCTATGCCACTGCTTATGTGTGAAGAAAAGCATGACTGCACCTGAACAATCAGTTTCCTCCTACTGTGGAGGGAACCATCATCAGGTTCCAGCCATGTTGATCTTACAACAGATATTATCCACACCAAACCCAAAATGTTTTTTTATGAACCACACTGAGCTGATCACAGAGAGCGTGAAGCTGTAGGTTGTTTTAATAAGTGAACAAACCGACATAAACCCTTAGATCAGTGGTGCCCAAAGTCGTTCCTCGAGGGTCGGCATCCTGCGGGTTTTAATTCTCTCCCTGGTGGTAGTAACAACCTTCTCAGCATGTCAATGTTCTTCTTATTGCTCTAATGAGCCATCATTTGATCCAGGTGCGTTAAACCAGGGAGAGAACAAAAACATGCAGGATGTCAGCCCTCGAGGACCCACTTTGAGCACCCAAAGTGGGTCCAAGTGGGTCCAAAGGTGGTTTAATCTCACCAGATCTCCTTGAGCTTGGAGTTGGTAGCTAGCGCTTCAGCAAAGTGTTGGATCCCAGCAGCTGTGAACTTGTTGTTGATGAACCTGCAGACAGATAAACACAGTCGGTTGGTGACTTTCTCACAAGCGATGGCCGACCGGCAGCAGCGGCACGAGTCCAGTCCGAGTCATTACAGTGACACTGCTCTCATGCATGGCTGGCTTCCTCACCAGAGGTGGCTCAGTCCAGTGTCGGCCTGGATTAACTCGGCCCAGTGCGGAGCTGAATCGTCCATCATCTCATTCTGCACCAACCTGCAGAAGATAAGAAACAAGAAACACTGAGACAAACACAGCCGGCCTCCTCACCGTGAGCTTCATGTCTGGCTTTAGACCACACAGTTACACAAACTGTATGAAGGACACAGAACCTTTTGTTCCTCACCATCTGACAGTAGGTCAGTTTGGATTTAAAAAGATACTTACATTTTCTTAATAAAATATTGAGAAAGATATTTTTATTCATTTCTTCAAAATTAGAACTTTTAATCAATTTTCTTAGAATTTGGTGGAATTGCCTTTTAGACTTTGTGACTTGGGTCAAACATTTTGAGTTTGCTGGAATTCCGTAATTCCAAACTGTAATCTGGATTTTATGCTGTTTCTTCATGAATGACCTTTCAACCCATTTCACAGAGGACAAATACTCTCTGTTAACAGCCTCACTATTGTTATGCTAAAAGGAGCTAGCCTATCATTGAAGCTATTCAAGCCTAAAATGGCATCTCATTACTATACATGTAGCAGCAGCACAGACGCCCCCAATACTACAAGAAGTTCCATAAATGATCAGGAGTTCCTGAAACACTGGAATAGCACTTTGCTCTAACAGGTTAAACTCATGAACTTCCATACCAGAATATCCTCAGGACTGTGTTCTCCTTCAGAGCTTCTGCCAGACACTTCCCTCCACTGGATGTGATGCCATTGGCTGCCAGGCTGGAGCACAGAGAAAAACAAACTGTACTTGTGTGTGTGTTTGGATCACCCTGTGAGGAACTGCTCTGTTTCTGGCCTTTCCTGCTACCTGAGGTTGGTGAGACGTGGGTGATTCCTCAAGGCTTCTGCAAAAGCTTCCGCTCCCTCATCACCGATGCTGTTGCCCCACATCCTAGAGGACAACATCAGTGTTATCTAGTGAACATTTAACCAATATTAAGTTCTACTTTGATGAACTTACCCCAAGTCGAATATGGAAGTGCTCTTCTTAACCGCCCTGGCCAGATACCTCCCACCCACAGGTGTGATCTTGTTTTTACCGATCCTAAATGTTAATCACAGCATTAAACACCAAAAAATAATAATAATAATTTAAATCGCTCTTATTAAAGTCATGCAAGATGTTGAACTCTTCAGGTGTTTCACATACTTCACAACTGCTAGTTGAGGACATTCTTCAATGATCTGAGCCACCAGTTTGGCTCCAGCATCAGTGATGTTGTTGTTGTAAAGCCTGAGGAAAGAAAAACGATCAGCTTTAAATAAAAGGCTCAGATGTTTTGACCTACATAGTAGATAGAGCAGCACCGTTTTGCCCCTCCCCCACATGTTGACCAGCTAGTTGACAGAAGATTCCTCGACTTCTTACCTTCTGGATAAAAGAAAAGATAACTGAGCCTGTTAGGAAATATTTCCAGCTGAAGAGGATACAGAAACTACACTGAAAAAAAGAAAATGGAGCTCCAACTTAAAAGAAAATGAGTTAATTTGTTAAACGTAATCAAATTAAGTTTGTCAAACTTAGTTTATTTGCATTTGCTTAACATGATAACTTAATACACTTGGAAGAACTCAATTTGATTACTTGTAATAAATATTTTTTTAAAGTTGGATCACCTTTTTTTTTTTTCAGTGTAGAGGAGCTCCACCGGTCACCGTTTTAAACTCACCGTTAGGAAGCTACAAACAGCAGCAGACTGATGAGACCTTCTACACTAAAATCTGTGGAAAAAATAATCTACGAAATGCATTTAATTAAAAATTACTACTAGTGGAGAGTTGCTGTACAGCTGTTATGATGTATCAAAATCCAAGTAACATGAATATTGTGGCATTATTATCTTTTACTTTTTACTTTTCATCAGCGTAGAAGCTACATCACTTCTTTTGTCTCTGCTCTGTCTTCTCAAACCTCCAGTCAGTTATGACTTACAGCTTGTACTGATCCAGGTTCTGGTTCTGCTGGAGGAAAATGCATTGCTCTGTATAATGCACTGCTGTAAAGTCAATGACACAATGCAGGAGACTGTTGCCATGTTCTTGTCCAGGAGGAGTGAATGCTGCAAATCAATGACTTGGTGCAATCTGCTGGGTTTTCTTGCATAGAAAACTAAGGAATAATTAACACCAGTACATGTCAATACATGTTAGAAGCTGCAGGTCCCCCCCCCCCA